TATATATATATTGAAGATTAGATTGTGCTTTAAAAAAATCATTACTTCTGAATTTGACTAACGTGAAAACTGAGTGCTGGGAAAAAAATACTGATTAAAAATACCCAATTTTATATATACTGCTTTTCACATAACATTTTGCTATACATGGGATGCAAGTAAATATAAAAATACCTTTTTTCAGGCAGCAGGGTGATCAAAATGAAGAGCATTAACCTAGGAGGGCTGATTTTATAAAACTAAGAGGAATGTCTAGAGTGAGACGGGGAGAAAACTATAATCCAGATGAACTTTCATATAGTATTTTTAAAGAAAACTTTATCATAGACAACTCTGAATATATAAATGATTCAGTACTTTCAATGTTAAATATGGATTACACAAAATACAATCTATGCAAACTGACTCATGCACATGGTCCTAAGCAGGCGATGGAGCCGCTGACACGAGTGAGGTTTGCAAACTTTGGTCCTCAGGTCTCGATTTTAACAAAACACATCAAGGCCTGACAAGCTTTGCTAGTCAATTCCTAATTTCCAGGATGGTCTTTTAGCCCAGTCCTCCATGCACAACAGCAGGGAGAACTGAGTTTACAGGGAAGACTCTGTAATACTATGGAAAATGAGCTGGAGAAAGGAATATGCTGTAATTGATGTTTTCAGCTTTACAAAGTGGACTATCTGTTGCCATAGTCCTTAGCTGTTCACAGGAAAGGCTTGAAGGTATGAAAACCAGTTATTTTACAACTCTAAAGGTGTCTTTCTGGATAAATAGGGTGCAGGGTGTTAAAAACTTAAAATGGATTCCAACTGTGCCAACTGCATATGAACTTCAACCGTGTTGAACCGAAGTGATCACCGTTCGGAGTCAAGGCCATTAACATGAATTCTAGAACAACCCCTGGCGTCAGTGTCACACACAGACACGAAGAGGTTAGGCAAGTAACGTTTTAAGAGCATTAAACTTCAGCATAAAGAGAAAAAAAAAAATCACTTTTTGCCCCACAGTTACATTCAGTTAAGCATCACAGCCAACAAAAGCTCTTCCCAAGGGAACAAGAGGCTGAAGGCCAAGCAGTGCCCAGTGGCACTCACAGGAGCACCTCCTCCCCCTCCTTGTTCCCTTACTTTGTAGCCAGGCCCTATCCCAGACCAACATTTGTTGCGTTTTTTAATGACTTGTTAGTTTAGTTGGTTTTAATGTACTTGTTCCCTATGGAATATGGAATGCTTCAGCTGTGGTTCATTTCCCCTCTCGTGGTATCAATACTGTGCTCATCACTACGGGTCAGATGCTTCCCCTCCCTCCCCACATCTATATCCTTGTCGTTCCCAGGTTAAACCACATTCCAGACTTCCCTCCCTGAGGTGACCTTTGTTTCACTGCATTTCACAAACCGTATACAGCCAGTGATACTCTTACCACGTCAGTTACTTCTAAGGTTACAGATACAGAAATCCTGCAAAAGAAAATTGCTTCGAAACTTCACCACTTCGAAACAGAACCGTTTTGCACACACTTCTGGTGAGCTGACTCAGTTTCCTCCCAAACCTAATGAGGACACAGACTGCAAGCAAAAAGCTCCTATAAAACTATTACAATTTTAGAAAAAATTCCAGATCTTCCTGAAGATAATTTATTGCTGCTTATTGGTCCTGAGAAAGCTTTAAGCAACAATACATTTGCACGTGTTTTAACTGCTGCCTTTGCTGAGAAAGTAAGTGGGTCCTGAGATTTAAAAAAAATCATGTTTTAGTCTTTAGTTTTCCAAGCATTTATGCTTGGAAAATGCTTCACTGTGCAGATTAAATATGAAGTACAATTTGTCACACTACATCTCTTCCCTCTGTGCCAATTTATTACACCAGATTTCTTTTCAGACAATAAATTAAAAGTTCTGGAGATGAAATGCAATGAAAAAAATGCCACACGTGCACTTCGCAATTCCTCACATTGGACTGGCATTTAAGGACTTGCAATTCATGAAATCTTCCTTCTCCCTCACTCCTCACCTCCTGTTAAAAGCTATGGTGTGAATATTTTGGCCTGGATACCAGAAAATTCCTCATCTGATACTCTATGAAAGGCAACTTCAAGGCAATGAAATAAGCCAACAAAAACACAAACACATTCACAACTCTGAAAAAATCCATGTGGACCCACAGCAGTTACTTCTCAATGGAAGTGCTTGGTAGCTTGAGATGTGTTGTCTTTTTTTTTTTTCCTTTTTAACTTTTAAAGTGTCAAATTTGCATATGTTTAGCTCAATTTCAATATCTGAAAGACTACTCAATTTGCTCTTATAAAAACCTTACAAAAGATGTTTTTCAATGCTTGTAAAAGTAAGCTTTTATCTACTGAGAAAATTCTAGTACTGGATAAAACTCTGAATATACAGCTGAATTTTGTAAATGTTTTTTGTTTGTTTGTTTGTTTGTTCTTTTCTCCTACAAGTCTAATGGCTGAGTGTGTAACCTAGATAAATTAGTCTCACACATGATGAAAAGTTAGAACTTTGCACACTTTTTACCATGTGATGTTTTGTTGCTTTGAGACAGTGCTTAGGATTCCTCTGGAGCTGGTGTACAGTGGCCTGTGGGCGTCGTTCACTGCTCACTGCCTCGGTCCAGGTTCTCAATCACCCGGGAAAGACGGATGTTCAGCAGCCTGATCTGACTATCCAGGTGGTCCATCTTCTCCTCCAGGCTGCTGTTGTTGTTTCTTCTCCAGTAAAATCCAACTGGCCCCGTCATGAAGTAGACAGCCACAACAAAGCAGAGCGGCAGCACGGCGTGTTCCGGGTCACCTTCGTACTTCTGGAGGATGTACACGCAGGACAGGGTGAACAGGGCAACCCTTGCAATCCAGAAAAAACGACCAAACAGCATGTGCAGGAGATAGAAGAAGAATCCAAGGAAGAGAGATAAAAACCAATAGGCAAGTAAGATGGCCCCGATCAGCAGGAGAGCGCGGGTCGGGTTGTTGGCGATTGCCGCTGGGCTGAAATAGTGAGTCAAGTTGGAGGCTGAAAAACAAAGGAAAAGAGACAGAATGTTAATCAACACAGGTCACAGCTCCAGAGGGTCAATCACCCCCCAGCAGTGGGGCCATGGCTGTGTTTTCTAAAGTAAGGGGTAAACCTGGTTCATCCCTTTCTGGATGGACCTTCTTCAAAACTCTGGCTCAGCTCCAATGATGCAACTCAACTGATTCCTTTAAAGTTGAGGTATTAAAGGTTCTTTAAAGACAAACCACTGAAGAACTTAAGGATAAAGTTCATACTGAAGCTACAGATCCTGCTCTGTAAAAGTTATATTCTAAAGGCTCTCAGCTGCATCTTTCCTTCCTCTAGTCCCCCCTGATTTCCCTGCACTGTTCCTGGCAGTGTGAGTCCATCTAATGATGATACCAAGGAACCAACTGTGACTTGTAACTCATTTCACAGACATCCTGTAGATACACACACAGAAATGAAATGTTTGGGTTCAGTCTCTTTGTTTGAAGGCAATAATAGCAAAATCAAAGCCACGTGAAGCAGACAGAGACATCACTGATGGATGCTTAATGCAGCACAATAAAGTGTCATTATTTTCCCATTTGCTTGTAAACATTGACATAGGCTGAGGCAGTTCAAGAGTGAACAGGCATCACACTTACCATCAATTCCAAGAACATCTAACAAATCAGTCCATATCCTCCAGAATGTGTCCATTAATACATCCACCCCATTCACAAACCTCTCTGTCAACCTTGAGAAAAACTGAGAAATAAAATCGAAAATTAAAAAAATCCTCCATTCCTAAGAACACACTTTGAGACTTAGCAGTCATGAGTAGAATTATAATTCAATAAGCAAGCACTGCAGCTTATTTTAAAGTCCCCAAGGGGAAAAAAAATGTAACTCTGTAAATTTTAACTGAGAACCATAAATCTGTGCATTACAATTATCATTATTCTAGGTATTTTGGCATGTAAATGTGCACGTTGGCAGGATTACAAGATGCATTTTATTGGCTTTGCCATTGTCCTGAAGCTTAAAGAAAACACAATTACTGGCAATGGGTAAAGCAAATCAGAGAACCAGTTTTACCAAGCAACTGAGAGATGTCCCCAACATCATATACTTTACTAGCAATGAGTTAAGCAAATCAGAGAACCAGTTTTATCAAGCAACTGAGGGATTTCCCCAGCATCACACACAGTTGTCTCAAGTGTATTCACAGGTCAATTTTAAAACATTTATGATCTCTTCCTACCGCCCAAGAGAAGCAGGAGCAGAGGAAGGTACAGACCCAGCCTGATTTCCTGCAAGTTCCCACAGCCCTACAAGCCCAGGATGCTCTGCTGATGCAGAGTCTATTTCAGCTAGAGCGACATCCAGCAGCCCTGAGCACCTCCTGCACCTAAAATAACCTTTATTTACCCCTTTCTTCGCTATTTTTCCCCACTTTGCCGCAAGCTTCACCTCGCAGGCAACCAGCAGGAAGACAAAGGGCACAGACTCAAGCTCTGCCAGGGGAGGGTTAGGTTGGATATTAGGAAGAGATTTTTTACAGAGTGTGTGATCAGGCATGGGAATGTGCTGCCCAGGGAGGTGGTGGATTCACCATCCCTGGAGGTTTTCAAGCCGAGACTGGATGTGGCACTTAGTGCCATGGTCTAGTGACCACGGTAGGGTTGGACTGGATGATCTTGGAGGTCTCTTCCAACCCACTTGATTCTATGATTCTCCCCATACCACCTTTCCAGCCAGGCTCGCCTAGGTACGACCCCACCACCGGTCCATCCCCGAAGCATCACCGCAGGAGATACCGTACAAGCCCCAGAGAGAACACCCCGTGGGGAGACAGCGAGAGGAAGCGAAACGTTTCGCGCGGGAGGCGCTGATGGGGAGGATGGGGTGGGGGGGAGCGGGGGACCCAGCATCCAGCCTCTCACCTTCTGCAGGGCCCGCACGTTGTCCTCGCCGAAGAGGCCGCTGATGCCCTGGTAGAGGCCGCTGGCGGCTCGGCGCAGGCTGTTCTGCTTGTCGGAGCTGCGGCTCCGCGCCGCGCGGGCGC